TTCATGTGAACTACACAAACATAGACATGTAATCCGAACATTAGAACAATGCATTCAATTTCGGGATATTTCAGGCATTCTTCCATCTTCTTAAGTACATGTCTATTGAGTTTTATCCCCATTCATTCTACTTGAATGCACAGCTTCGTAGGGGGTCAAAATCTCCATCTGTTTAGAACAAGGAGAGAAAAACAACATCGATCGTTTCGTCTTCAGTTTATTTTTTTCATCTAATGACTGTTGCGATGATGATGATGATCGATAGAGTGGGATAGAGAGAGAAAGAGAAAGAGAAAGAGAGAGAGAGTGCCACATTCAAAGCGTGTGTGTGTGTTTTTAAAACTGGCTCACAACTTGAGTGTGCGTTAGCTCTTGAAATTGACAATTGAAAATGAGATGAAAGACGGAACCATTTTTTCGCTTGTTCAAAGCAGGATCTATTCTTTAAATCCAAATTTCAAGAATGGCAAAGAAAAAAAGTGAACAATTGCATAGTTCTTGCAGACATTTTGTCCTTTGGCCACATTTTTTCTTCTTTCATTCGTTCGCAGTTATGTATTTCTGGGTTAAACTTTTTCGTTTGGCCAACAAAAACATTCGTTACAGGTTTTTTTTCGGTTTACAGAAATATTTTGCAACCTTAAATGCAAAAAAAGAGAATTTCACCTTCAAATAACCTACAGGTATATCGTATCACAATTTTTTTTCTCCCTTTTTTTCGGTCGGGGATTTATTTTTGACATGGAATTTAATCTATTTAGTATTTGTTTATTTAGTAACATTTATAGATCACATTTTATGATCGATCGCATTGTAGTTCTTTTGGTCTATCTCAAAAATAGACGGTTCAAAGTATTTCGGAAATTAGATAAAATACGATAAGAAAAAAAAAAACAATACAAAAACTAGAGTAATAAATGTACCGATATGTTTTTTTTGCACATGTCATAAACTGTCACAGGACTATAAATGTGAATAATTAAAGCATCGGCCTGCTTCATATGACAGAACAGACGAACGATATAGAGAGAGTACTCAAACATTTAAAAAAAAAATGGAACAAAGCTGGACTTTAATATTTGGTTAAAAAAACAATAATTAGAACTGTTGTTCCTTAGTCAAGGCTCTCGAACAGAGTATGTACATGCTTGAGTGTGTGGTCCATTCATTAAATCTATATATTCCTTTTGGCTGTGTGTGTGTGTGCTTGGTTTCACAAGAATTATGCTGGCCGTGCACACATGTGTTTTGATCGGTTTTTGTGTTATTTTCTCGTGAAATGAAACGCACTCTTGAGCCCAAGTGCCTATTTATATCCATTTCCATTATTGCCTCCTTCTATATTCGGATTTTTGTTTCCTATGTACATTAGGTTTATCGATATTGTTGCTTTGCTCTGTTTCGCTCTCTCTACATCTCTCTCTCTCTCTCATCGATGCTTTCTCTTCCTTTTCTCCGTCTCTTTCATTCTGTTTCTCGTTTAAATACCTGATTAAATGGTACTTATACCGGATTAAACGATGCACTGGACATCTTCTCACTTACAATAGAGAGACAGATAATAATATTCTCGTTAAGGAATTCCAATTTTCCTCCGGTGGCCATCAACATACTTCACATTTAACATCAGCTTATCGATGGCACACTATGCTTCATTAAATTAGTTTTTTTTTTTTGAATAAATTGAGTTCAAAGTTGACCATTGTTGTGGAAATGAATTTGTTTTTCTCTCACAACAAACGGTGCATTTGTCAATAAGCCGGCAATAGCATTTATGACATTTTTTCTGAATTACTTTTAATTAGGAAGATATCTTTGTATAAGACAAAGAATATGAATTTGCATATTTTTTGCAATACCTATTGACCAGGCCCAATAAAAGTCACGAAACAAAGGTAAGAAAGGTTCATTTTTATAAGTTCAAGTTCGTTTCTTTTACAATGTTTGCAAAAACAAAAATTAACATATGTACGAAAACGTAGATTTACTACTTTTGTTATATACATTTTTGTGTGTTTGCAAAATTCATTAAACAAAGTGTAGCATGTGGACAATAGTTTGTTACCGAAAGGCCCAAAAGTAAGTGAAAATGCTCAATGAAGTTGAAAATGTACACGATGAACTCATTGAAAAATACCGAGCACCATTTTATGAATTAAATACGTACGGAATGGTTTTGTCATTCATTATCCGAGCGCCGAAAAAACGGTCGAGTCTCATGGGATCGATGCGTTATGCATAGTATGCAATACACAATTTTAAATTATACTGGCAAAAAATCAACAAACACACACACATTTTAAATCTGAATGTGCCGAGAAAAAGGGAATTTGCATTAAGTGGAAGTACATCAGTTTGTAGTAAATAATCTTGGAACTAAACACTTGTTCGTCCAAATCGAAGAGACAACAATTTCGATTAGGTTTTGTTAGTCCCCAGATACAAAACGGCTACACTTGTTGCCATGAAACACACAGACACGCGTACACAAACTCACTCTCTTATTCTTCCGTTTGCTTCCGTCACAATGATAAACAATCGTCGTAATCATGTGCATGTATATGGATGTCGATTTTTCTTTTCCGAAACGGAACCAACCCTCGGTTTCGGTGTGATCATCGGTGGTGCATTATTGTCTCGTCGCAATGGGTTTTCGGTATCATTTTCAAATGAATGCATGCACGGGCGCGCATCATCAGCATCGACCCCTCTTTCGAACCACCACTAAATGCTTGTATTGTATATTTATTATGAGCGCACATTTCATACACCGCTTGCTCTGCACACGTACAGATTTGACACATTTGCATCGTACACTCATCGCTCATTGCATTTTTTTTGTTCTTTTGTTTGGCAGACAGAGTAGGATCTCAGGACAAACATAAACGATAATCATTTTCAATTTGAGCAGTTACGACTTACAACAAAAACAACAAGGTCCCTTTGGAAATGTGTTCATATTTTTTGTGAATTGGGGTGAGAATAAAGTGAGATACAGAGAGAGTGAGAGGGATCAAAATCAGTCAACGGCATTCCATTGACGACGATGAGAAAATCTGTTTGCCTTTAACCCCTTAATAAAATGTAAACGCAAGTTGCGTTGAGTCGGTGCAATCGCATCTGGTCGCTTTTTTCCGAACTCATTTCTCAATCAGTTTTGCGATTGTAGTGCGACACTTTTGCTCCATTTATGAAGTCCTTTGCTGCAACTTGATTATATGGTTATGAAATAAAATGATTCAATAGAGACAGACAATGATGAAGAGTGTATGTGTGGTTGTTTTTTTTATTCTTCCATTTTGTTGGCATCTGTACACATGTTCAACATCGGTATGGGCTATATAATTTGCCGGCCCATTGTTTGTGTATGTGACGCATTTAAACCTGATTTACTTTTTTTTTTGTGTGCGATGAAAATGAAATTATATGGCCACGACAATAACTCTCGTACATACACTTATACAAAACCGATTATGCGAGCACATAAAATAAGGAATTATAATTACTTTTTCCGCTATGTGTTAAATTTAAAACATTTTTGTGTTTTGTAATAAAATAAAATCGGTGAGTCGTTTTTATGACGATTTTTTCCCTCGCATTTCGATTATTGTTTTCATTATGGTTCCTTCTTTTATTGTGGTTCATTGTTCGCGCAATGAAAAAAATACATACAATCTTGATTTCACGTTTTGGACACGTTACTCTCTACGTATAACCTTATCAATTTCTATAGATTTTTTATTTTATTTTTCAACAACTTGACTGGACACTTTGTGTGCCAGTAAGTGTCATAACAAATATGGAACCTTTGCATTCGTTGTGAAAACCTAATAGAGTAAAATGTAAAGAAGACACACTTGATCTGAAGTGCTTTCTTAAGATAACTGGCTGTCTTTTTTCTGTCTGTCTTTCTCTGTGCGAAAACAAAAAAAAAAACTCCGCAAAAAAATTGAAGAAAGAAGTGTTATCAATAAAATTTATGATATTACAATTTTCAAAACACTGTGTGCCAAATGAAATATATAAATGTCGCCCGCACAATACTGATTAAACAATAATATCGCGGAAAGGAGTAATTGACGTCATTTAATGAGCAGAAGAAAAAGAAGGAGGAACAAAATTCTGCTTGGTTTTACGAATGTCTCATTTTTTAATAGTTACGGTTCGGTTTTTATTGTTTTAAAATTGTTGAGACAAATTCGAATTTCGGATCAAAACCTTTCATTCGCATTTTTGGGTTCGGTATGGACGGAATGAAAAATCCAGTTTCGGTTGATTTCATCATCGTCAGCATAATGCTGTTGTTTCATTTTTGGAATGACTTACGAAATATTGCCACAATGGCTCTGAGATTTTGTGTATGTATGTGCTTTTATTACATGCGTGCATGAATCGGGTTTTTGTCGTTAGTATTTCTTTTTTTCGCTAAATACTTCCATTTAACCTATGCGCTGTCGGAAGAAATTCGTTGCGTATATGACTCGACACGATTCAGCTCACAATGAAAAATACACATGTGTTGGTGCACCGTTCAAAAATGCTACTCGTCGTTGTCAGCTTCTTTCCGTGATTTTATAGGATCTGTTGTCGTAAATATTTTCTTTTATTTGCTCATTTGTTTGATCTTCGCTCGTAATCTTTGTGTTGACCGAAAAAAAAATATGCAAGTCAATTTAATTGCCAAACTACGTTTCGTAAGCGCGCGCGATACTTTTTCTATTTTATATTCACGGTTATATACACTATCTCATGTGTTCGCACGCTTGTTCGCTTGCCTCTCTGTTTATATTTATACGCCGAACAGATTTGCATTTTTTTCTTTCAAATCGACTGGAAATTGTGAGATACACACACCAAATCGCGTAATCAACGAATGATTTATATCTCATATACACATCATGATCATATCAGAACGATAAACAAAACATATTACAACATTAAAATGAAAATACATGATTGAATTTAATATGAAGTGAATGTGAATGTGGTTATTTCCTTACCTCGTCAATATTGTTGGTTGTAATGGCCGTAAATCCAATCGGACAAGAATACACAGTAGCTGAAGTTCCTTTATCTCCTTAAAATGTTCTTTTCACACAAAAAAATTGTTCTTTAATACCGATTTCTGATATTTTTTTTAATACAATACGGTAAATGTCTTCACAATAGTCATTTCAATCGAATTGATTGTTTTCATTTGACACTTTTATATTAAATCACGAATATTTTTTGTTCAATCTTAGAACAATAGAATTTTCGACGAGTTTCAATGTTTTTTTCTGGTTTGAGTAACTTTGTAAATGTGTCACTTTTATTAAAATTTCTATCTCTTCTAATCCACAGCTTGTGGTGTATACGTCACTAAATGATCGAATTCTTAAAAAAATGTTTTTAGGCGCCGTAAGACTAAACGTGTAATATTTTTCGTTAATTCGTTTATGCGTACGTCTATTTACATGTATTACACGTGGATATCTGCTTTTTAATCTTCGTACTATGTTTTTTCTGACAACTGTATCAATATTATTCACACTTCGATCGAATATATCGATAGATAAGATTTTTTTTTTTGTAAATGTTCTGTCTTTCGATTCAATTTAAATGGTATTTTTTTGCACACTAAATCAGCCAGAGTTGATAGAATTTTCAGTTTTGTTGTTCACGATTATTTTTTGCCAACGAAAATTTGCTACGTTTTCATGAAAACAACTTGGGTTATCTCAAGATGAGCAGTAAATTTGAATTTCTTATTTTTTTTCTCTCTCTCTTCTCGCTTTGCACGAATTCTATTTTTAAATTTCGAAATTTTTTTTTATTTGCAAACGAAAAAAAAAATTCTAAAAGCTTTGCGGTTTAATTTGCGGAAAATAAAGACCGTATTAAGAAACAAAAACGTAAAAACAAAAGAAACACAAGAAAATAATCTTTTCGTCGAGCCAAAACGACGACGACAGACTATCGCAACTGCTCAAAACAAACTAAATTGTGAACAGTCAACGAGCTATCGATGATTCTTCTATATTCTCGATACTCAGACACGCACGCACACACACCGACGAACGACAATGACGAGTGAAACGCAACGGTTACGAGTGCACACAACGATACAATAGTCCGTGGCCGCATCGGCAACCCGTATCATACGTAACTCATACCGTGAGTACAAATTGTTTGAATATGGAATAAACGGCAAAGCGCATACAATGTGAGACTATATAATGCGTTAAGACAAGCGCAAAGTCGTTCGAAAGAAAGAAAGAAAGAAGAAAAGGAAACGGCTTAAAGCAATTCACACAAATGACCCGACGGATGAGAGTACGTGATAGAGCTACATACACCACCACCATCACGAATGGCAACAACAAGCCGATGATACCGACAAGTGTGTGCTACAATTACAGTAAATTTTTCAGTTCAAATGCTATTGTGTGTGTATTTTTCTCCACAGATTTTGCGGTCGTGCGTATGTTTAAAATGCATGGGTCTTCAACGATCACCATTGGGCTATGCGCATTGCAAGCAAAAAAAACCGACATAAGAATGTTTTCTGTTTGCTTTCTCGCTCGCTGATTTTTTTTTCCTTCACCGACACCAAGATATTGTTACTAAATTGGTTGCCGTTGTCGTTGCTTTTTCATTTTTGGTATTTCCGTATACACTCCGTCCTACACGGAATCACAGTGACTCTCAAGTCGATCATCACTTATTATTATTATTGTTATGGAACGGACCGAATAAAATCATATGCTTTGAATGTGTATTGGAATGCGAGTGAATGCGATGTGATGATGGCGTCGATATCGGTTTGTTTCTTCTTCATTTTGCCATTGTTCGAATCGGTTGTGAATTTAAGATGCTTGAAAATGTAGCGTGTGTTTGTGTATACACATAGTTTTTGTTTTTGCTTACGTTTGTCTCATCTCACAATCCGGTTGGGTATTTGTTGTATGGATTCAATTGGAATTTCTTGATGTCGTCATACTTACAGCAGCGCACACACGTACATAAAACACATTTTAAGATATTTTTTTGCATATCGCAGCATACATCGTCATATACAGTGCATATCTTAAGCTGAATCACTTCCTACTGTATGCGATCGGTGACTTTATGTGCCGCAGTACAAGAACCTTCTTTTTTTTCTTGCTCTTTCATACGATTTATTTTTTTTTGCTCTTTCATCACATTGCGAATTTAAAATTGAAACGCATAAATTGATGAATAATAAAGAGAAAGAGTTAGGCAGAGAGAGAGAGAGAGAGAGAGAGAGAGAGAGAGAGAGAGAGAGCAAAATAGAATAGAAATCGACAAGTTGATCATCATCTGAACTGGTTAGGTTTCTCTCTCTCTTCCTCTCTCTATCCCTCTCTCATTCGGCCGAATGATTCATATAATGAACAATCTCTTCTTATTTTTTTTTTTTAAAGAATTCTAATGTGGCTGCTATCGCTCAGCATTGTATAAAATGCCATTTAAGTTTAACAATAAACAAAAATGACATTAATTTCAATGTATATATTGTATGAATATTTTTTTCCGCTTTCCTTATATGTATCGTGCTCTCTCGAGCACCCATATATCGAATCAGATGGAAACTGGCATGGGCTCGTTCAAAGTAAGATTGCGTTCGCGCGCGCGCGCCTCTCTCATTGCATCATTACTACAAGCGAGCGCAATGGTTTGAATGCTAAAGAGCGGCTACAAGCCGCCTTCAATTAATTATTGTAATAAATTCACTTTAAAAGCCTCGTAATTAAAATCATATCGTCGCATATACAGCAATTGCTATTTTGCCGTTTTTTTATTCGCTTTGCTCTTTTTTCCTCTCTTTTTTTTTGCTTAAATCATGATAGAAGTTGGTTTGAATTGCCGCTGCTATTTTTTTTCTATCCGCAACTACTCTATCGACCTAGCAAATTATAACTGGAATTAAATTTATGGCCAAGAGATATTCATCTCGTTTGACGATTTATTTATCATGAGTTTGCTTGCTCGCATAATCAATGTATGTGCTTTGTTTGAATAGAGACAGAGAGAAAAACTAACCTGACCTGTGTTATAAACAACAATTGAAAATACGATCCACGCTCCAATGCAATTAAATGACAAATATAAATATAATAATCAATATCGAGTCGAAAATATTCTTGGCACGATATATCCTTTTTTTTATGTGAATGCCCAAAATGGGACTTTACTGATAAAATTATGATCACTGTGTTAATTCACATGGTAGCCAATGGGTATTGCCAAACGGTGTTTGGTGCAGTATTTGTATTTTTTGCAATAAAATTAGATGATTTTTTTTGTTCTTCAAAATTTATTCATCGTGAGATGCCAGAAAATCAGCACATTGTCTCAATTGACGTAGGAAATACCAAATAAATGCTAATTGTTTGAAACAAATTTTTTATTTGAATTTTTGATTATCCAGAAGTGTAAGAGAAAAAAATCACATTTGATGTAAACAAAATAATCCCAATTTATGGAATGATCGATACCAGATCTTATGCGTGGTCGATTGCCTAACAATCGCAAAATCGATATAAGCCACCGTTTTACGCCAAATGTGACAAATTAAAATAGGATATGTATAATTTTTCGGCACCATCACATGGTGTGAATGTGATGAGTTGGTTTTGTTCATATCTGTTTTTCTTGTCGTTTTAAAATTAATAGAGAATGCGCACACGAGATAACAAGAACAAATTGATGGGATTGTTGATTTGGTCATCGGTGCCATAGCGATAGCAACAGTTTAAACAGTATGAACGTCGATTGCTCAAGCTGCGAATAAACAAATGTACAAGAAATTTTAATTAAAGCCTCTCTCTTTGATCTAAAGTAGCTGTTTTCATGGGACGTTTCATATCAATTTCCACACTCAGTGTTCGAAACCGAACTCCCAAACCGTTCATTTATGTCATTTTGCTATTATATCATCGTTTAGACTTGGGATTTTGAGTGTTTTGTGTGTCGTTCGTCTATTTTCATTTATCGTCTGCAGTGCTCAATTAACTCGAACTCGTTAATATTGCCCAACCGTTCTCTGTCTTTCTCTGAACTCTTTGTGCCTGTGAAATGTGTCTAAGTACTAAATGTTCAGGATGAAAAAAAATAATAATAAGAAATTATGAGATTACTTTTGTTTGATTTTTTTCTCAACGTTTTGCGGCTTGGTTTATGCGATAATGTGGTTTCTTCGCGCAATTACACCACACACAATATTATATGCTCGTTTCGTTATCATTTTGGAATGCGCGCACACCGTGAATCGAAATTTTTTGTTTTCTAATAAAAACCTGTAATTTTCCTTTTCCATTTTTTTTCATTTACACAATTCGTCTCTCTTTTAAATCATTCTAATAAAGAAGCAAACACGAAGCGCTATTGGAACAGTGCAAATATGCAACTGACACAAATTCAACGGACGATTTTTTTTCTATCTTGTCTCTATCGTTGGCTTGTGTTATTCAATTTTCTGGCAAATAGAAAATTAGAAGTTATGAAATCTCGTAATGCTCTAGCGAAAATTTATATACACTATTTGGTTGCTATTACCGCAGATTGCAATTCGGTTATATCAATTCATAATAAGAGATATGGCCGATTACACATTTTGTTGGTTGTTCATGAGACGCAAGCGGTTCGAAAAACCTTCTCACATGCACTTGTGTGCATATCATGGCACACCGATTTGCCAATATAATATTTTGAGGCATGACGTTGACGACCGACAACGATGCTTGGCGTTCCAGTTGTATATTCAGTGTGTTTAATTCAATCTGACGAATAAAAGTCCAAAAAGATTAAACACCTAAACTAGTTGCGGCTGTCGATCTATCTGCGAGTACACACCGCTGCTCAAAATTATTATATTATTTGCGTGGCTGTTTTTCTGTCTCTCTTTCTCTATCGTTGTCTTTCTTAGTCGAGCAAAATCCAGCTCACTTCTGTTCGTTGTGGTCGCTTTGCATATTTTACATAATCGGTTAAGTCATCGAAAAATCGTGTGCTGCCGCACTGTCATTTCCATATCAAAAACATGGAAATAAGTTTTGAGAGAGTGTGCCAGCATGCCCCGTTGCCGGAGAAGACGATCAAGAGAAGAAAAAAAAAACACTTACGATATATTCATAATAATAATCGCTATATATGCGATTTGGTGTGTTGTGCTTTCGTACAATTGGTGTTTTCGTAAGCCCAATCGTGGCGTCGAGTTAGAGTGTGAGAGTAAGCGTGAGCGTGAGAGAGATGGCTAGAAAGCCAGAGAGAATTCAGCATTCCGTTGGCGTAATAAAAGAATATATTTGCTTGAAAAGTCGAATAGACACATTTGGCGTGTGTGTTACGGTAACAAAATAGTCATTATAACCATTATTATTACCAACAACAGATATATATATAATAGTGAGGCAAGAAAGAAAAAAATACCTCTCTCTCTCCATTGTACATACAATTCTTTCGCCGTCGTCGTATTTTTCGGAACGCGGCATAGAAAATTAACGGTTATAATGAAGCAAAATTATATTTGAGGGAATTATCACAATTATCATGTCTACTCTCGTTAAGGCCATTTTGTTTCATTTTCATTTCATTTGGCCGGTTGAAATCAAAACAACTATGTTCCCATTGTCGCCTTACCTGAGATCAGTTTCACTTTTCACGCGAGGCAATTTTGCTGAAAAGAGTCTTTTTTCGGTGGTTTATTACATTTTTTTTCGCTTAAAACAATATTGAATGAGAGAAAGACAAAGAGAGAGAGAAAAGAGATGTGATCATGCCCCGCGCACGGCCCACTTATCTAACTCTTTATATATCCTAATATAAAAGTCGTTTTCCGTGTCGTTTTTCATTTCGGCTGTTATTTCGATGACCCACTTTCCGATTCTGCTACATTTTATTGCATACACGAAGAGTGCACAGTCGATTTACCATTCAATTAATTAATATTCCGAAAA